CCACTTAACAATGGAATTTAACGGTTGTTACGATCCAAGCACCTAAAGTGATAACTTTTATAATGTTAGACACTTAGATGATTCAAAAAAAGTTTAAGCACCTATTTGAAAAAAAGATATAGTTTGGGTACTTATTTTATAATTAAGCCAATATTTTACAATAAAATGTATTTTCATTTGAAATGAAATAAAATAAAATAATGTATTTTGTCAAAAAGGCTCCACCTCTTATCAAACCTAACCGCATATCACTCACCAACCCACTTTCGACTTGGTTCATTCATACTCACACAATCAGCATCTTTATTCAATTCCTCACACCTAATTTACATTTTTTTATTAAAACAAAATATTGTGGTCTGAAAACTATAATAAAATAAATAAATTATTCAAAAAAATACTAATAAAATAAGTAAATGATTTGTAAATGAATGTCCCAATTGTGGCCCACGGATAAAAATGATGTCACGTGTTTTTTTTTTAATTTTTATTAAATTATATTTGAAAAGAATGTGGAAATATTAGAAACTATCTAATTGGAAATTAAAATATATACAAATAAGGAATTATATCAATTCACCATATATTTTTTTAATTTCTGAAATTGAAAAACTAAAGTAATTAAATATTTTCTATGCAAGTCAGTTTTGATGAATTTATTCTTTAATTAATTTTAATCACAAGATTAAACCTTACACTTACAAATCAGTTTGAGAATTAACTAAAATTCAAATATTTAGATGTTTAAACTAAAATTTTTAAAAACTTTGAATGATTTATTTAAAAAATTAAAAAAAAAGTATTAGGGGTGTAACTAGAACATTTTTAAAAATTGAAACTTAATGAATTTTTTTAACATTTTTTTTCAGAAATTGAAAGATTTTTTTTAGAGAATTACAAATTTTAAGAGACAAAAATATTAATTTGGGCAAACTACACATTTAGTACATAAACTATCAGTTTTTATCCGTTTTAATATCTTAATTTTCAATTTTTTTAAAATCATACTTAACGTTTAGTTTTTGTTTTATCTTAATACCCCGTTGTTAAAAACTTAACGCATTTAGTACCTAAACATATTAGTTTTGGTCATCTTAGTACCTAAACTTTCACGTTTTTTTCAAAACTTAACGTTAAGTTTTAAACAAAGTACTAAAATAAAATAAAAAAACTAAACTTTAAGTACACTTTCGAATAATTTGATCCAGGGTGTCTCCAACCCTTCCACCCCTGCAAATAAATTATATCATGTGTCATAACTCATAATATAGGAGTAGGGTTTGTGAAGAATTAATGATTTATATAGGAGATGATCTCTTATTATAACGATTACACACATCAAAATAAATATATCTCTAAGGTAGTAATTAATACACGACGCGATCACTAACTATTTTATTTATTTATTTTATATTTGTCCTGCCAATATTAATTACTCGTTTTGTAGCAATCTCTTTTCCAACACGTTATAGAATTTACAACACGTTGTCGGGTTAGGAAGAGAAAAGTTTAGAAACAAACAAAAGATCAAAGTCAAAAAAATTCTTAGAATCGGAAGGACAATTAAAAAAAAAAAAGAAATTCAGGATGAGGACATAGAGAGATGGTTTGTAACACGTCTAAGAGAACAATGGTTTTATGTACGTACATATTCATTTAGTGATGTGTTGTCAGTATTCTGTGGCTGAAATTCATTTAAGAGGTGTAATGATTTTTTTTTAGTCATAAAGTGATTTTAGGAGTTTTTGAATTTGAATGATTTTTTTTTAGTCATAAAGTGATTTTAGGAGTTTTTGAATTTGAATGATTATATTTGTACGGTCTGTTATCAATAATTAATTTTTTTAATAAATGTATATAAATAATCTCAAAACTTTTTGAAAGCTTACATTTTGGTCATCAAACTTTTGAAATTTTCAATATAATCATTGAACTTTTAATTCAATTTTATTTTGGTCCTTGTTGTTATCTCCCATCAGTTTTTTGATGGCATGACACTTAACCCCATCAACTTTTTTGATGTGGCAGCTTCTTCTTCTTCTTCCTTCATTCTCTTCTTCTTCTTCATTCATTCTCTTCTTCTTCTCACGCACACTCTCTCAATGAAATCTCAAATCCAAAGCCTTGCAATTTCTTAAATTCTTTCTCTCTCTCTTTTCCCAAGAAAATTTAGCTTCTCTCTACTTTTCTGGGTAAAATCCACTTCAAGTAGTTTGATTTGTTGCTATTAAATGTTAGCTTTTCCCCCAAGTGGGTGTAGGGAGAATCTGGGAAAAAGTTTCTTCTCACACACTCTCTTTTCCTACTCTCTCTACATACAGATATGCATTCGGATGCTGAATTACAACCATCAAAGAAATGTGTGTTGAATACAATTAGCTTACCACACCAATGTGCCATTCATGTCTTTAAAACTCTTGAAAACTCGTTGCATCCATTTCCCGAAGTTGCATGAATTAATATCATCAGAAAATATAATATAAATGCTAATAGAATGCATTAGGACGATGTTCTTAGGATTACTACCCATCTATACAGTCTCTAACAACAAAACGATCGATCGGGGTAAAAAACGTCTGACGTGAATGTCCATTTTCGATGCCGAGTACGAGCCATTTCAATGTAAGTCCTTATTTCTAGGATGTAAAAGCATCAAATGAAAATGAAAGCAAAAAACAAAGCAGAAGTTGAAACTTTATACGACTCCAGTGAACTTAAGTCGGGTACTTAAGGCATCGATGTAAAGAGCAGGCATATCAACTGCAAGATGGATGTTCCTCCGGGCACAAAGCACAAATCAACGTTTTTAACGGAAACTCTCCAATAAAAAAAATGTTATTTCTTGGTATTTTAAGCATAGTTAATGAGGAACATGATAAGTTGCATCAAGTGATGTAAAAGCTAATTCAATCCTTAATGAAATGCAAATTAATGAGGAACATGATAACTTCATGCACTGGCATCGATCGTCTTTGAAGCTCATTAAATTCTCCACTGTGATATTCCATATCTAGCACTTCGTGTTTCCCAGAATTATTTTTTATTGCTGTAGCCAAGTTTTGTACGAGACAAAAGCTCAAGAGATTCCGTTTTGGTAAAAATTCTGCATATATATCGGTATGTAGGGAGAGAAGGAAAAGAGTGTGTGTGAGAAGAAGCTTTTTCCCAGTTTCTCCCTACACCCATATGGGGGAAAAAGCTAATAGTTAATAGCAACAAATCAAACTACTTGAAGTGGATTTTCCTGAGAAACTAGAGAGAGCAGCTGAATTTTCTTGGGAAGATAAAGAGAGAAAGAACTCAATAAATGACAAGGTTTTGGATTTGAGATTTCATTGAGAGAGTGTGTGAGAAGAAAAAGAAGAAGATGGATGAAGGAATAAGAAAGAGAGTTAAGTGTCTCGTAAGCAAAACTAAAGGAGGTAACGATAAGGATCAAAATGAAAAAATTAAAAGTTCAATGACTGTATTGTAAGTTTCAAAAGTTTGGTGACCAGAATGCAAGAATCCTAAACGTTTTTGGACTATTTATATATTTTACCCTTAAAATAATTTCTAGAACACCGACACTGACATCACACATAGTACTACACAATAATGTTATTTTTTTAAAATAAATATTTAATAAAATTTATAAATATTTTAATGATAAAATAAAATATTATTTAAAAATTTAAGTTCGAACATTTATATTTATAAGTGTAATTGTTATAAATAAATTTAAAATTTTTAAATAAATATTATGTTATAATTGTTTAATATTATTAAAAAAAATATTTAATGCATTTTTGTAATAAGAAAATGCTCAGCCTATCATCAAACCTAAGCCTACATCAGTCACACACTACATGGTTCATTCGTACTCACACAATGGGCATCTTCATTTAATTCGTCACTCGAAACCTGACTTACATTTTTTAAAAAATAAAGGTCAAAAAAGGCATAACAGATCAATGTACTTTTGAAAAATAAAATTAATATTACACTCGTATTTTTTCTAAATGTAGTATTCTAATGGGGGACAGAGTTCTCTTCAAGGCTTAAGGGGTTTTAGTCTTTCTTAAAATTTATATATTTAATATAATTTTAATTTAATAATATTTTAATTTATATAAAAATAAATATTTTTACAATATTAACACGATAGTTCCCGATATTAACGTGATGATCCACGGTGTTAAGGTGACAATTCCCCTAATTTTAGTTTAATAATATTTTTACACTCGTAATTTTTCTTAATGTAGTATTCTAATGGGGACAGAGTTCTCTTAAGACTTAAAGGGGTTTTAGTCTTTCTTAAAATTTATATATTTGATATAATTTTAGTTTAATAATATTTTAATTTATATAAAAATAAATATTTTTACAATATTCACACGATAGTTCCCGATACTGACGTGATGATCTACGATGCTAATGTGACAGTTCATATGTTTGAGTTACCAATTTAACTCATATATCATGTCATCCGCTACATTATCAATCATTATAGATTGCCACATCAATATCATGAGCCCCACATTAACGACTTTAATTGTCATTTCAGTATCATAATATTTAATAAAAAAATATTGATCAAAAGATCATATTAAATTTATTTTATGAGTGTTAAAGGAACACATTAAAAAATACAAATGTCAAGTTATTTTTTATAGTAAAGAAACTTCTAATACTTTTTTTTATATAAAATAAATAAATTATTGAAACAAAAAGTACTAAAATAGTAAGTAAAAGGTATTAGTATTTGCTTTTTATTGTAATAAATGAATTTTGTTGTTATTTTTAAAGTTTTGAGTTTAAATATAAAATATATTAAAATTTAAGTATTTAATAATAAAATATTAAAAATTACCTTAAAATAAATATTATCATATATTTACCTCGCATTAATAAAAAAAACAATCACTTTATATATAAAATGCAGCTCAATGGTGATGAACTCATGAGTGATATAGGTTTCCAATATCACATAAATACTTTTTTTTTGTTGATAAATCACATAAATACTTTGCTCAAGCAGAAGAACACATTTTGCAAAGAAAATATGGGGATTTTGAAGGCGGTGGTTGTTCTTACAATGATATCCACTCTTCTTCTATCCATCATATGGAAGGCAACCTTGGATTCAGATGAAGATGGTAATCAAAATTTTATCCAATGTCTTTTGGATAATTCTGTCCCCTCCCATCCCATTTCTTCTGCAATTTACACGCCTGAATCCTCCTCCTATTCACCTGTTCTTCAATCTTACATCAGAAACCTACGTTTCAACGAATCTTGGACGCCGAAACCTTTCCTCATTCTAACGCCACTTCATCAATCCCATGTCCAAGCCGCCGTCGTTTGCGGCAAGAGCCATGGAGTTCGGATGAAGATTCGAAGCGGGGGACATGATTACGAGGGTTTGTCTTATGTGTCGGATGTCCCTTTCTTCCTCCTCGACATGTTCAATCTCCGGTCCATCGATGTCGATATAGAACACGAGTCGGCTTGGGTTCAGGCAGGAGCGACCCTCGGCGAGGTTTTTTATAGGATCGGGGAGAGGAGCACGACTCATGGGTTCCCGGCAGGTGTTTGTCCCACGGTCGGCGTCGGCGGTCATGTCAGCGGAGCTGGTTACGGTAACATGATGAGAAAATATGGCGTTTCCGCCGACAACATCCTCGACGCGGTCGTCGTTGACGCTGACGGTAGAGTCCTCGACAGACGGTCCATGGGTGAAGATCTTTTCTGGGCAATTAGGGGAGGCGGAGGAGCAAGCTTCGCCGTCGTCGTCGCGTATAAAATCAAGCTGGTCCGTGTCCCGGAGAGAGTCACGGTGTTTCAGGTCGAGAAAACACTCGGAAAAGACGATGTCACCGACATCGTAGACCAATGGCAACACGTTTCACACAATCTCCCCGAACAACTCTTCATCAGACTCATGCTGGATGTCGTAAAGAAGACTGTGAGGGCGTCGTTCGTCTCCTTGTTCCTCGGAGACTCCGACAGCCTCATCTCGATCATGAACGACCGATTCCCCAAGCTCGGTTTAACCAAATCCGACTGCATCGAACTCAGCTGGGTCAAATCCATTCTCTTCTGGTCCAACATTCCACTCGACACAGACAACAAAGTCCTACTGGATCGAACTCTCCCAACACTGTATCACCTAACCAGGAAATCAGATTACGTACGAGAGCCGATCCCAAAGCCCGGCCTGGACTCCATCTGGAAGAAGATGATCGAACTGGAAACCCCAAAAATGTACTTCAATCCTTACGGAGGAAAAATGGCGGAAATCGTAGAACAAGAGATCCCATTCCCGCACAGAGCTGGAAATCTTTGGAAGATCCAATACATAGCCAATTGGAAAGAACAAGGCATCGAAAAGGCAAACTTTTACATTGATTTAACCAGGAAACTCCATGAATTCATGACTCCATTCGTGTCGAACAACCCGAGGCGAGCATTTCTCAACTACAGAGATGCTGATCTGGGAACTGATTACCATAAAAAAGGCATGCACGAGGAGGCAAGAGCTCAAGGGATTAAGTGGTTCATGGGTAATTTCGATAGATTAGTGAAGATCAAGGGTGAAGTAGATCCCAGTAATTTCTTCAGATATGAACAGAGCATCCCTCTTCTTCCTTCTCTACAACATTCGGATGCTTCTGTCTGATCTTTTTTTAAGAGTAAACTACACATTTAGGATCTAAACTATCAGTTTTGATCAATTTTAGTATCTAAACTTTCAACTCTTTCAAAATTATAACTAATATTTAATTTTTATTTTATTTTAGTACCCACCTTTAAAAGCTTAACGCGTTTAGTACTTGAACTATCAGTTTTAGTCCGTTTTAGTATGAAAATTTTCATTTCTTTTTAAAATTTAATATTAAATTTTAAATGTGGGTATTAAAATGAAATAAAAATTAAATTTTAGGTATAAGTTTGAAAAAATTGAAAATTTAGGTGTTAAAACGGATTAAAATTAATAGTTTAGGAACTAAATGCGTAATTTAACATTTTTTCACTCGATGGTGCAGAGAAAGAGTGGTGTTCGACTCTATGTGGGTTTTCTTTTGATGAGGCTTATTATATATAAATAATTTAAATAAACTTGGTTAGATCCTAATGATAATATTTATGTTATGATAATCAAATAAGCGTAATAATAAAAAGTTTACTAATTCTCATTTGATAATTATTTGTAATTTTATTTTTTAAAATATTTTGAAATTAACATCATAGGAATACTATACAATAAAACTATTACCCTTCGGCAAAAGCTCCGGCCTCTTATCAAACCTAATCGCATTGCTCACCAACCGACACACTACTTGATTTTTTTTTATTATTAATATGGGGTAATTAGTAGGGATGGACTGAGTTAGGTCGAATTTTTCAGTCCACTTGACTCGATTCGAAAATTATTTATCATGTATCTGATCTGAATTTGACTCAAAAAATACACACCTTTCACCTAACTCGATTCGTCTTTTTGAGATAAAATTTGAATCCGACCTAAATATATAAGGTAAAATTATAAATTTTTTTGGGTTAAGTATTTTCACCCTAAACCCAAACATGAGCCGACCCGAACTTGAAACTTTTTCAAAAAATTCGATTCCATCAAGTTGAACCAGTACCGGTCAGGTTTGGGTCTCATGCTCATCCCTAGTAAGCATAGGACAATATATATTCAAATATAACTTTCAATTATTTAACATTAAACGCTCACACCCATGACATTCCTGATGCTCGAACCCAAGACGTCAAAAAATAACAATAATTTCTTTACCAATGAGGTCAATTTGGTTTATTCGTGCCACTATTTGATTTTTTTGTTGTTGAAATGAGAGCCTCATTAAAAACTTCATCTACGCATGTGGGGTAAAATAATACCCAAAAGAACTTCATTACTGAATAGAATAATCAAACAATATATCGTTTCGAACAATCTTGAGATAAACTGGGTCAAAATACATAGCATTATCAGTACTAGTAGTCCATGTTGCAAGATTATGAGCAATCATATTACAATTACGTACAATGTAATGAACGCTAAACCCATTAAAATTAGACAACAACTGATGCGTCTCTGATAAATAGATCCCGATTTTCGAAAATATCTTCAATATAATGATTGAAGTTTATTGACCAGTGGTTGAGAATCAGACTCAATCATCACTTTCTGCCATCCGCAATCCCTGACCAAATGAATAAATGCGATAATTGCATTTGTTTCATCTAACGCTGCTTACACACAATCGGGAGAAGTCGAGGCCATTACACCTAAGACCCTACCATCAGAGTCCCGAGCAATGACTCCTATAGCTGTCAATCGCGTTCGTGGATCAAATGCACCATCAACAATAACCTTAACCTTCACTACACCCTGCGGAGGAGGATTTCAGCGTTTCAGATCCAATACAAGCTCAATCCCATTGCGGAACAGAGTGAGCATCCGTATGAGAACTCTAAGCCTAGACAAATTCTGCCTGAAGTGTCTTCGCATTCGGCACAATAACCCAAGGAGGTTGAAATAGACCATTATATACATTCCAAATGTTCCAAAGAAGCATTATGAACCCTACAAAATTTTCAAGATCAAGCGCAGCAAAGACTGTTTCAAGCCAGTTTAAGGGAGATATTAATTGAATAGATAAAAAGGAACCTGTCAACCCAGCTGTTATGAAGGCTTCTTGGGTGTACGAGCAATCACGAAGAATGTGCACCACTATTTCCGTATCCTTATTACATATAGGGCATAAACCCGTCCTTGTACCTACATTCAGATGGCGAGAACCAACTGAGAGCCCTCCATACCTCGTTTTCCAAGCAAATAACCTGACCTTAGGAAGCGTTCGAAGCTTGGCTATGACCTTCCATAGTTTCGAATTCGCCTCTGTTGTATGTGTAGATCGTTGGAGCCACCAATATCCAGATAGAACAGAATAAATCTCAGAATCATGATTACCCCAGATAATCCTCCAAGTAAGGAGCTATTGCCGTTGATAAAATGAGCTCAGCATCTGAGATCGTAAAAATCGAACGCACCTTCGTCTCGTCCCACATAGGCTGTCCTATATACATGAATTGAAAACAACATAATCTTTGCCTATTAATTAAATACTTAACGCGTTTAATACTTAAACTATCAGTTTTGATCCATTTTAGTACCTAAACTTTCATTTTTTTCAAAACTTAACGTTAATTTTTGAATGGATATAAAATGAAACAAAAACTAAAGTTTTTAATGGTGTACTTTTGGTTTTTAACTTTACTTCATTCAGAGGTACTCAGGTGGTGATTTGCAAGGTGTCACTGCTAAAATTGTGGATATGCCTCATCACTGTATGTAACCTTTTCTATATGTTTCAGTGTAGTACTAGTTTGCTAACAAGTAAAGATACCTGTAAGAGCTTGTTTCGATGTTATTATATTTACAATGTTTTGAGAGAATTTGTTCTTGGATAAGGAGAGGTTTGAGAATTATAGCTTTTGGGAATTGATTAACAGCTTTTTCGTGTTGTGCATCATTCGTGCATATGTGAATTGTATTCTGAGATTTCTTCATATTCAATAATTTTAGAGTACCATATCCAGTGCTTCAAACAGATCATAACTGCTCATTAATTTATTCCTCAGTGGGTTGACCGGGAACTGATTATGTTTTATCGTCAACAGATGTTGAAATTCATCCAAATATTCGTAAACAATTCTGGGATCCTCAACATTGGCCAAAACATGTGCTTGTCAGATACACCTGGTCAGTTTGTTGTTAAAATCTCTCTCTCTCTCTCTCTCTCTCACACACACACACACTCTGTCGGGTTTTGAATTTAGTCTGCCTTTAAGTTTTCAGAAGCGTAAGAGATGATACTTTGAAAACGATATTATCATTTAAAGCGAAGGGTACAGTTCTCTGTTGTGTCTTAAGTGCTTAACAATACGTGGTTATATCCTCTGAAAACATAAGAATTTTGAATGACTCAACTGGAACTTTTAAACGCAGGAACCATTAGTTACTTTATTATAAGTTCTGCATGGGAAACTTCAACTAAATCTTCCTCTCTATGAATTTGTTTATGCTTTATTCAGAGTATTTTAGAATATTGATTATACTTGGCATCTCGTAGAATGAGTAAAATAACTAAATATCTAAGATGTAAGATTAACTTTAATCATAATCATTTGTAATAAGATGCACATAAGCTTCCATAGTTTGTTATAATTTATGATATGGTTGTGATGGTGTCATACGACAGGGAGGAGCAATCAGAGATAGATGTGACATCTGGATTTTATGTTCTGTTTGGATCAGGTAAAAAGGTTAACACTTTGTATAAGTTGGTTGATCTGTCTGTTATGCTCTCTTCTCCTTGTACATTTTAGTTCCTGAAACAGAAAATCATTTATAATGCTAACATTTCCTATGCCGATTGTTTTAATGGTTTCATGATATCATTACATAGGGTGCTAGAACCCTCAGGCACCAAGGCACAAAAAGATGATCGCTTAAAATTGGTGGAATTTTTGTGCGTCTGTTGCCTTATAGAAGCATGCCTAGACATACCAATCACATGTGCCTCTGAGGCACTTATGTTTTCTAGCCTTGGCAACATTGGTGGTCTCAGATGCATGTACTCACCCTCTGCAATTCATATTGTCGTGTTCCTTGAAGAATGTCGCTTTGCTAATGGGGAAACAAAGATTCGAATAGTAGACTAATTCGAGAGATTTATTTACACCAAAGCTACTTATTTTGCATGTTTGTGCGTGAACAGGGCTGATGCTGTCATTTATTCTCTCAATCTATATCTTGCAGTCATGAAGGGACAAATTAGCGAAGTAACATTCTATCTCGTATGGTTTTACATTTTTAGTAGATTCCAACTGAATGTGTAAGGTGTTCACTCCATATGTCTCTGTCTCTTGTTTCTCCTGTATGTTTTTGTCTTTCATTTCACAAGGTTCGTAATGGATACTGTTGTGGAAAGCAGCGTGCCCGGAGTCGGAGTCGGAGTCGGAGTTGCGAAGGTCGGGTAATTTATTCAGCTTTGAGAGGTAAAAAATGAAAAGAAAAGAAAATGTGGTGATCCAGTGATGTGAATCATAGAAAGGATTTTTGATACTCCCCACGGGGCATTGACATAGATAGTTAAAAAGAGGTTCACAAATAACTTTTCTGATTTAAAAAATATTGGGTAAACTACGCATTTAGTACCTAAACTATCAGTTTTGGTCCGTTTTAGTACCTTAACTTTTAATGTTTTCAAAATCGTACCTAATGTTTAGTTTTCATTTCATTTTAGTACCATGGTATTAAAAAATTAACGCGTTTAGTACCTAAACTATTAATTTTAGTCCGTTTTAATACTTAAAACTTTCAACTTTTTTCAAAACTTAACGTTAAATTTTGAACAGATGTACCAAAATGAAACAAAACCTAAAGTTTTATTAGAACTTGTCACGCTAACGTGATGAGTTTGAATAAAAAAATATTATTTAGACAAACTCGTCATGTGAGTGTAACGAGTTTGCCCTGTATTGTAACATTTGTCATATATCCCAAAATAAAATTTGGGTTGACCTAATAGACTAATTTTTTTAGCCACTTGGTTTATTGGGTCAATTTTACCACTCGCGACAATACATGTTATGAATTGAAAGGCTTAAATCATTGAAAATGTTTTATGGTTAGCAAAA